AATTGGAGATAAGAGTCTCATGGATTTTTCTGCCCAGGCTGGCTTTGAACCGTGATCCTCAGATCTCAGCCTCCTCTGTAGCTAGGATTACAGGCATGAGCCTTTGGCGCCTGGCAAACAGGGCATTTTTTATGAGGAACAACAGAAACCTGATACGGAAAGATTGTCCTGGTTGAATGGGGTTTTTCAGGCTCCTGGAAAATTCTTCCAATTTTTTTCAGCATGCTTCCAGACAGTGCTGGGCACTGGAAACAAGCTGGGTCCCAAAGCTGCTCTGAAAATGGCAAGTCACGTGGATGCCGTCAGTTCCCCAAGACACACATCACAATACCGTCCATGAGCCGGGCGCCAGCGTCTCACCCCTGTCATGCTAGCTGAGGAGCAAGGTTTGAAGCCAGCTCGGGCAGGAAAGTCCAGGAGACATTCCTTATCTCTAACTAACTGCCAAGAAAGAAAAAGAAAAAAGAGAGAGATGGAAGTGAAGCTATGGCTCAAGTGGTAGAGCACCAGCCTTGAATGAGAATGCTAAGGAACAGTACAGTGCGCTGAGTTCAAGCCCTGCCAATGCATGGGAGTGCGTACACACACACACACACACACACACACACACACACACACACACACACACAAACGTGTTCTTGGAGCCTGGCCTACCTCTTGGTGCCAGGCTCCTAGGAGGCTGAACAAGACCCCCGGGCCTCTTTGGCCACCTTTGCCTGTGTACTACACTGAGAAAGAAACCAAGGGCTGGGTGACAGGTGAGGCCGGGGGAGGGGGGATGGTCAGGAACCTGCTTCCAGTCCCCAGGGGATCTGACAGTGGTATGCCTCAGCCCGCACAAGTCATGGTGGAGGCCAGTGGGTGGTGGGAATCTGATGAAGGGACTCAAGAGGGAAGGCTCCCTCACGGGGTGGCCCTTGGGGGAGGGGTGCCTAGCTGGAGCTCCTGGTCAGTCCACACTGAGGAGGGCAGGGATGCTGTGCAAGTGAAGCTGACTGGGTGAGGAAGTGACATCCCTTCATGCCATCCGTGATGCAGAGCTTTCGGGAATGCTTCCTGGGTGCTACGTGCTGCTCAGACCCAGTGGGGATGGATGCCAAGTTCCCTCCTCACAGAGCCACATCCTAGAGACGAGACAGAATAGGAGAACATGGGAATGCACAGAATGGCTTTGGACAGAGGTGGGGAAGTAGAGCTGGGCAGGGGAGTGAGGGGGAGGGAGCAGGGTGGTCTGCTTTAGAAAGTGGTGCGAAGTGTGAGCATAGGAGAACAGTGAGCAAGGTTTGGGCCTGTGGGGGCCGGGAACAGGGAGATAAGGCAGGCCTTGGAGCAGAGAAAACCAGGAGGTGACAGGTCACGTTGACGATTAATACAGTGGTAAGGGCTTGGAGTGAAGGAGGCCAAATAGTGGGCTTGAGTTGTCTAGGTGTGAGCAGGTCCTGGATGTGTGTGGCTGTGGAGAAGGAGCATGTAAAGGACGTGTTGAAGGTAAGATGTGGGTATGGCCCCAGGGGGTATCGTGAGGCATTGGACATGGATGTGCAAAAGGTCGGAGAATAGTGGGCCGCATGCAGAGGGAGGGCATGTGAAGGACGTGCTGGGCTTGCCGTTTGTAGCATCCAGATGGAACCATTGGGATGAAGAGAGGAACAGACAGGAGCCCAAGCTTGGAGCATCATTCTTTAGGAAGAGTGAAATTCCCTTAAGGGGAAAGGATAGAAAGAATGGTGCAAGTTCCAGGTGAGCCTCTAACACTACCAGATAAAGGGAGAGGTGTACCATGTTCATGAACCCGACAGTTTACTACTCTAGACATCACTTTCCTGAAATGTAACTGTGGTTTCCACTAACGTGTTTCGTAGAATGAGGTAAACTAGGTTCTAAAAGTCACATGGACCAAGATAGCTCAAGTTCAGGGACAGCCAAGGCAACTTGGCCAGAGAATGTCCTACCTGTTCCAAGGCTTATTATGTTCCTATAATCACGAGTGTGGGGCTGTTGAGGGATGGGCAAATATGCCAACAGTACAGACAGAGAGCCCAGAAATGGACCTTTGTGTAAGCAGGATGTTAGCAGATGGCAGAAACAGGACTGGAAGTCAGTGAGGAAGGTCGTGCTGAGTAGTGCTTGGCCATAGCCTAAACAGAAGATTTCATTCTCAAAAATCATATCCACAATGAAGTACAGAGGGCTAAATCCTCACATTTAAACATCAAAGCCTGTGCCTGTAATCCTGCTGTCATTTCCTACGCTTGAAGCTGGGGGGTGGTGGTTCTATGCCCTCTTTTCTTTGTTATTGACAGGTAACAATTGCACACAGCTGTGTGTTACAGCATGATCACTTGCTTCATGCTGACAACCGACAGAGCACGGGGAGAAAAGGTTTACCTTTTTATTGTGATAAAGGTGATGTACAGAGGGATTACAGTGACATAAGTCAGGTCGAGAGTACACTTCTTTTTGGACAGTGTCACCCTGCCCTTGCTCTCTCTGGAGAAAATGGCTTTCAGTGAGTCTGTTTTGCTGGGGTTGGTTTCAGGCACAGGGGACTGAACTATTGGGCACGTGGTCCTAACACTGCTCTGTGTTGGGTTGTGGCTCTCTCCAGTCAAGTGAGGTGAAGGCCATGCTGAGAAGAGGTCACCCCGCAGGAGGACAGGCCTTCATCACAGATGAACAGAGTCCTTGTAAGAGAAAACACTGCACACACAGGAGACACACACAATGGAGAAGGTGGCAGAACAGGCAGGCACAGATGGCAGCCACAAGCCAAGGAATGCATAGGCCTTGGAAGCTAGAAAAGGTGTGACCTAGGGTTCAAGGCCAGAGGCCCAGTCTGGGGTTCCACAGAACAAGTCTGGCCACTCACCCCAATACATTGATAAGAGACAGGGAGTGGCAAAGGGCTGAAGAAGAAAATATATGACTTGCATTTCAGATTATCTCCTAGGGCACAGGTAAGAGCTTGAGGCTTAAATAGAGGAAGAATTAGGGCATGGGCTGAGATGTATGTGTAGTTATCAGGCAGTCTAGGACACAGGTGCTGTGTACTGCTCAGGACCGGTCAGGTGGGCCTTGTTACCTGCAGAATATCATTGTTGTCTGGCCGAGGGTTGAGGTCACTTCGAGACCTAAGATTTATCAGCCCTGTTCTTCCTGGACTCCAAGGTGGCTGCAAAGAGAGCTTGGGAAGCTGGTTTTGTGCCAAGGCACCATGCAAAGGGGGGCGGAGAGGCCCAGCTTTGTTACCTCTGGACAGTTTCAGGCCCAAGCGAGTGCCAGTGCTTTGCAGCTTAGTCCCAGTCACAGAGGCAGGCAAGATCCTATCCTATGCTCTTCAGGAGCTCAGCCTGGCTCAGCTGTGCTCCTTTGTGAATTACTCTATGCACTTTGGATATTGCCAAAACAACGGAATGTACAGTCCTGCAGGTGAGAGGTGAGGAGATTTAAGTTTAAGGACATGGAGACCCATGCATCTTTGTGTCTCCCCCCGCCCCCAACAGAACACTGGACACCTGGAAGCTGGCCAAGAAGCAAGGGCAATTCGGCCCCAGGCAGAGGTGGTTGATTCAGGTCCCAGAGAGCAAGCTCTTCAAGGCGTGTGGTGGCTGCACCTGTGGAGGGCTGGCAGGGGAGGGGAGGCCCAAGGCTCACTGGGAAAGGAAGGGCTTAGAGTTCTCAGCCTAGGAGGGGAGACTCCTCTTAAAGAAGAAGAGCCACATTAGCATGTGCTGAGCGCAGGCATGATCAACCACACGCAAGTCATTCTAGGCTGTGTGTGGGTGCAGGCAGCCCCCAGCCACTTAGTGGTTTGCAACTAGCAGTGAGTTCTCTGAGGGACCCCAGACTCGGAGCGGCAGCGGAGGGCTGTTCCTCAGGATTCCTTTTATGGGAAACAAAAGGGGACTCCCTGCTTGTGGAGCTCTAGGGCTGCTCCCCACACTCTCTACACAAGTGCCCAGTGCTGCACACCCAGCTCTCAGGCCTCAGGGGCAGCTTGGCGATGGAGGCCCTGCCCTGTGTCCCTGTTTCCAAGAAGCTGTCAGTTTCCACTTCCCCAGTGCCCAGCGGTTCTCCCGGTGTGACTACAGGTGCAACAGTTTCCTTGCACTTCTCGGACGTGTGTGACTCACCCCCAATTCCTGTAGCACCTTCTTCTCAGAACTGACCCTACTCCTGAATTCCCAGAGTCTGTGCAATGTGACCTATGTAACCCATGTGACTGCCCCCTAAAATTCAGTTTCATCTCAGCCCACACCTGTTTCTGTGGCCTGTGACCCTAGCCACGTGGGGCCGAGACAGGGGGGGTGGGGGGGGAAGGGGGGAAAGGGCGGCCCCGTCCGTCCGTCCGTCAGTGGAGAGTCCCGGGGCCTCACCTCCATCAGCCCAGGGCCAGGGGCGGAGCTGAGGCTCAGGAGCCGGCCAGGGCCCAGAGCCCCGGACCCCGGAGCCCGCTGGGGGGCGCCCCGCCCGAGGACCCGCCCGGGCCGCGGGGCTCCCCCCCCCCCGCCGCCCGAGGATCCCACCCTCCGAAGACCCCCCTCGGACCGCGGGGCGTCCCTCCCTGGGGGCGCCCAGACCCGGTGCACAGGGAGCATCCAGGAAGGCGCTTCCAGAACTTTCACCTTCCGCCCAGACGCGCACCCAAACTCGAGTCTGAACCCAGGGCTTCTCGGGGAGAGTAGGGGGAACAGAGAAAAGCGGGGACCCCCGGAGGGGCGGGGTCTGGAGGCAAGGGGCGGGGCGCCCAGATGGTATGGGCGTGGCAACGACAGGCGAGGCCTGCCAGACGGGGCGGAGCCAACAGGGGGCGGGT